GGAAGGGCAACGGAAAAGAGGAAAATCATCAAGAAGCTAAATGGACAGAATTGCTACAACAACTGGTTCCAACACAGTAACAATGAGGATTGTGCAGGACAGAGCAGGGTTTCTGCTGAAGCCCCATTTTCTTTGTACTAGCTAGCTTCTCTACAAACACGCATAATCCTAAAAGTCCTTAGCTGTTTAAGAATTAATTAAAAGTAAAAACCCCTCTAAACAGCAATCACCAGACTCAAATGGCTTCAGTGATAAATGCTAACATTTAATCATGAAAGGATACCAGTGGTTGAATACCTCTTCTAGATAATAGAAGCACAGCAAATACATCCAAACCAACTTTAAGAGACCAATATTAACCAAATGCTAAAACCAAACACTCTCACTGCCAACTCAGTGACCCTGTAAACCAGGCTAGAACTGCCCTGTGAGTTTCTGAGACAGTAACTGTTTACAGGAATAGAAAGGCGTCTTTCTCCCTCGGAGTGGCTGCTACTTCACACTGCTGACTTTGCAATTAGCAGCCCATCTCTTAACCGCTATACCACCAGGGATCCAAAGCAAAGACATACAATTTGTTTTAAAGCAAAAAAAAACTACAGACCAATATCAGTCATGAACACAGGTCTAAAATTCCTCAAAAATTATATATATCAAGAAATCACATTTAGCGGCTGCCCCTCTGGGCGGCGGGGGCTCTGCCTCTCAGTGCCATTCCCCCCTACCTTCCACCCCACACCCCGCAGCCTTTGGTCAGAGAGGGCGGAGGGAGGCGAGGGAGGCGGGGAGAGAGGAGGGAGGAGAGAGAGGAGGGGACGGGGGAGGGAGAGAGGATGGCAAGAGAAAGGGCGCTGCTTTCATCCCATACTTCCCAGAGCCTGCCTGGAGCACGCACTCATTCTGGGTACTCCTTATTGCCCCAACCCTGCAGCGGCTGGGCTAGGGCAGCGGTAGCCGTAGCCCCAACTCTGTAGCCCCGTCCTTTCTTCCTTGCCCCGCCCGAGCCCTGTCCAGGTCTCCCTCGCGGTCCAGGCCGTCTCCACTCCCTTCTAGGCCCGCCCTTGTCTCTCCCTCCCGCTTCCTGAGTCGCGCCGGCGGCTGCTGCAGTCTGGCCGCGCCGCTGGAGCCCGAGCAGCCGCGGGCCCCTCTGCAGCCCCTGCAGCCCGTGGCGCCGCACCGGAGAGAGCTCAGGTGCCCCAGCCCCGCCTGCGAGAGCGGAC